ATTTATAAAATTAAATATTTGTAAATAAATTTTTTAAAAAATAAAAATTAAAAGAATAAATATTCAGTATTTAAAATTTTATTTTTGAAAATAATATGATTTATATTATTGAGTTTAAATTGAATATATATATATTTATAAGAATAAAGAGATTTTTAGTTAACTAATAATAAAATAAAATATATATTATACAATATAAATATAAAAAATTAATTAAATAAAATAAATAACTTTTCTTTTTAATACAATGCATTTTCTAAAAATAAAAAAATAAAAGTTCATTAAATTAAATAAATAAAAAAAAAAAAATTTATTAATTAACAATATAATTAAATATTGATTAAAAAATAAATTAGAAGTTAAAAATAAAAAAAAAAATTAAATATAAAATTAAAAATTTATAAATTAAAAAACTTGTAAAATTATAATATTATTTTATAAATTTATAATTTTGAAAAGTAAAACTTTTTATAATTATTAAATTATAAATATTAAATAATATTAAAAGATGAATATATATATAATAAGTTATATTAAATAAAATGTAAAAGATATTATATTACAAAATATAATAAAATATTTCATATTGTATTTGTAAAAATATTATTTTCTTATAAAAAAAAATAACAAAATTAATAATTTGAGAATAGAAAATAAAAAAATATATATATAGATGAATTATAAAAATTAATATATATATATATAAATATATATATATATTTATATATTTTTTTATAAAAATTATATTTTTATTTTTATATTTCAAATTATAAAAAAAATCATATATTTTTAAAAATAAATGTATTTGAACTTTAAAAAATCAATTCCTTAATAATAAAATAAAATTAATACAAATAATTATTTATATTGTTAAAAAAATAAAAAACATAAAGCTTTCGAACTTTTATTTATTTTTTAGAAAAAAGCTGTTTTATTAACTAATCACCTTTATGTCCTTAATGTGTTCATGAAGAACATAGTGGTCATTAAGTTAAATTAATAAAAGAAATATCAGAAATAGCTTATAAGTTTATACAAGATGAGAAATGTAAACCTATAATAAGTTAATATTGGTAGAAATTATAGTAATAATATAATGAAATAAATGGAGAAATAAGCTAATTAATATATTATCTGTAAGAAACACAGAATTTTTTAAAGTAACATAATTAAGTATTTTTTAATAAACTAAATTCAGTTAAAAATAATTTATGGAACAATATATAGGAGAATGCAAAATAAATAATTTATAATTAAGTAAGTGATGAATATGAACTCTTTTAAAAAACAAAGATTATTTTAAAAAATATTAATGTAATTGATGAACAACCTTAATATAAATAAAATATTTTTAAAGAATAAACTATAGAAAACATTCTTAATGGTTATAAGTAGTTATTTGATAAAATAAAGAATATTAAATAACATTTGAATTAACATTTAACTAAAAATAATATTTCTGATATTTATAATATTCCAGAAATATAAATTATTGAAGGAAATGAAGTTGTTAAAATTTTATAAAATGAAAGTGAATGTTAAAAAAGATTTTGTTAAGATGATGAAGATTTCGATATTATTGAAATCAAATAAAATGAGGATTTATAAAAAAAAAAATATTTAAATTTTAAAAAAAAAATAACATAATAATAATAATAATAATAATAATATTAATAATAATAATGGAACTATTATCAAGAATTTTTGTGAATAATTTTATATTAACAAATAATTATTTGGAATTAATTAATAAAAAATTTTGTAGAATAATTTTAATCTATAAAGAGAGAAATATAATACTAATGAAAATGATTCTAAAAGTTTAAATTTTTTATTAGATAAAAATAAACATTAATTAAAAACAAAATTTAGTTTTTAAAATAATTTATAGGTTACTATTTTATAAGGGAAACTTTTTTCTGCTATTCTTTAAAAAAAGGATAATGAAAAATTTAATTAGAAAGATCTTAAGTAGTAAATTTTATAAGAAGATTCATTTTCGAATTAATACTATATTTTTAGAAATTGGGATTTCGATAATAACTATTATAAAAACATTTCGGAGTTTTTGTTTGAAAATAGTTTAAATAGTTCACATGATTTTAATTTTAATTTGAAAGATGTTAATTTAAAAAAATATTTAGATGGTTATATTTTAGGTCCTTTTAAAGAGTTAAATGCCATTTATATTTATTAATAAAGTATTGTTGAGAAATTAAACGAAGGGTATATTTAGTTGTTTTGAAAAAATTATATTTACTATTTACTTTTATTTATGTAGACTGCTTTTTCTAATTATTTTTTTAATTTCAAGATCAGAAAACAAGAGGATATAAATCATAACAAAATATATTAAATTTTTATTATACAAAATATAATTTTACAACTATTATTTTTAAAAATAAATAAATAATAAAATTATATTTTAGTTTAAAATTATATATAAATACTATGATAAATAAAGTAAAAAAATATATAATAGTATATTCTTTTTTATTATAAAATACTTAATTAATATTATTTTATTATATTAATAGTTTTATATATATTTTAAACATATTTTTAATCTATATTTAGTTTTTTTTTCTATATTAATTAATATAATCTAATAATATTTACAAAATTAAATATTAACAATTAAATATTTTATTAGATTAAAATATATATTTTATTTTATATTTATTTTCATGGATTTAAAAAATTATTAATTTATTAATATATTATATTTATTAAACCAAAAAATAATCCAATATAAAAATATTTAAAATATAAAAGACATATAATATATAAAAATAATATTTATTATAATAATTAAAATTAAATAATAAATATTTAATTATAATAAATATATAGTCAAATAACTTATAAATAAACTAATAAATTGATAATTATTTTATAATGGAATCTTTCAAAAATTTTATAGTAAAAAAATAATTAGTTATATATAAAAATGAAAAAAGACTTTATAAAAAACGAATCGAAAAAATTTAAAGAAATAATAAACGAAATTAAAAATAATTATTAAAATTTAATTTATATTTATTATAAAATCTTTAAATCTTAAAGGAAAAATATTTAAAAAGAACAAACTAAAATAAAAAAATTAAATAATATCAAATAAATAATAATATCGAAACATATTTAGAAAATCAATTCATTATAGAAATTAAGTATAATAATAAGAATAAGCTTATTGTTTTAAAAACGAATAAATTAAAATTTTTTGCAAATATAAATAAAAGTATATACTTTTAAGGAAAAAATTGGAATTTGAATCTAATAGATTTATCGAAAAAAATAAAAGATAAAATATTCGATTTTAAATTTAAAAATAAGTAAATTATAACCAATAAATGAAAATACTTCATAAACTGAAATAATGTATAGTTTTGAAACAATCAAAAGTTTAATCAAATTTTTTTTATATAAATTAATTAAAATGTTTATTATATTAAATTTATTAAAATTAGAGTTTTATAATAAGCCATAGCTTTATTAATTTTTGAAAATAATAAAATGAAAACAAACAAAATATTAGAATTAAATGAGGAAAATGGTAAACTTAATTCTCTTTTATAAAATTAATAATTGTAAATATAAATTAATAGAAATAGATAAAAAAATTAAAGTTCTTTTTAAAAAAATTTTTAAAGAATTAATTAAATTTATATGTGATATATTTATTTTAAATATATAGTTTAAAGTAAAAAAGGGTTGTAATAAAATAATATATTGGAGAAAAAAAGTAAATTGCAAAGATAATAATTTTAATCTGTTTAAAGCTAATTTTTAGAATTATAATAATAATGAAGTTAATAAAAAATTTTAATGCTCTTTTTATTTTTAATAATTATTTATTTTTTAATGAATATAATTAATATTAGTTCCATTTTTATTTGTATTTGTATTTATATTTGTAATTATATTTGCAATTGTATTTTTATTTATATTTGTTATATAAATAAATATAATAATAATAGAGAAAGTAAATAATAATATAATTAAAATTAAATTTAATATATCAGTTAGTGTTAAATTTGACATTAAATAAAAGCTTTATTATATTCTTTTAATTATTATGGTAATATAAGTACTTAATATTAAAGGATAAAAATTTAATATAATTATATTGATTATAAGGCATATCTAATAATAAGAAATTTAAATCTTAAAATATTTTTTTTTTAAAAAAAAAATGAAAAACTTATTAATATAAACTTATATTTAAAAATGAAACTTTTTATTTTTATAATATTTAAAAAATAAAACTTACATATAAAAAATTTGATATAATTATTATATATATTAATTGATAATATAAATATATATTTTTTATTTTTTTTTAAAATTGTTTTTTTAATATTTTTTTTAATTTTCTTTTTTTAAAAAAATTCAATTAAAAAAAAAAAAAGAATATAAATAATTTTCTTTTTTTATTGTTTTTTTTTATATAGTCTTCTAAAAAAAAATAGAAAAAAAATATATACAAGTAATATAAAGTAGTTAGTTAATTAATTTAAAATTGCTTAAATTAAATACAAAAGAAAAGAAAAGAAAAGGAAAAAAATATTTTTAAAAAAAAAATTTAAATAATTAAATTAAAAACTATATAAGTTTAATATATATATATACACTGTTTAAATTAAATTTTTTATATAATAATTTTTTATTTTTTAATATAATCAAAAGTTTTAAAGAAATTAATTTAAATTGTTTAATTGTTTTTGTAATTTTTAATTTATTTGATAAAAAATATTAAAATAAAAAATAATTAAATTAAATAAAATTTTGATATATAATAACAATATTATTAGTTTATATATTTATTTTATAATAATTTATGGGCCAATAATAATGCTTTAAAAACTAATAAATATAAGAATAACAACAATATTAAACTTGTGAAATAATACCTATATAAGAAACAAATGATTAATAATATAAAATAATAAACATTGTTGCAAAATAAAATTGTATAAAATTAAATAATAAAATTAAAAAAAATAAAAAAAGAATAATTTACAGAATAACACAAAGAAGAAGATTGTATGTAATAAAGTTATGCTGAATTAAAAAGTTAGTATTTTGTTACCAATAATAATTTTGAGACAAAAAGTAATATTTAAATTACTGAAAATTAACAAATAGAACATTTACCTAATCCATAAAAAGCATAATATACATAATTTGTTTCCTCAAACTAAAACAAAAATATAATAGAAACTTTATAAAAATTAGGAGATTTTAATTATAAAGATAATAGATTTTTTTCTCAATAGTTAACAAATTATGATTTAAATTTACCTTTTTTGGGTCCTTTTATATTTTAAGGGGGATAAATATATATAGGATAATGGAATAACGGGAATAGGCACGGATAAGGAAGATAATATTGGAAAGAGGGTAGTATATATGAAGGATATTGGGAAAATGGTAAAATAAAGAATATATACTAAAAAAAAAAAAAAAAAGATCAAGCACATGGTTTTGGAAGATTAATTTATTAATCAGGAGACGCATATATAGGTTAATGGAAAAACGACTAGTGCGAAGGATTTGGAATTTATTATTTTTTCAATGGAGGAAAATATGAAGGATAATGGATTGGAGATAAATATAATGGAAAAGGAATAGAACATTGGCCTGATGGGTCTTTTTATGAAGGAGATTTCATTAATTAAAATAAATAAGGGAAAGGAGTGTTTAAATGGAATGATTAATCGATATATTAAGGGGAATTTTATAATAATTTTATGCATGGATAAGGGAAATATAATTGGCCAGATGGAAAATGTTATGAAGGTTAGTGGGAAAATAATAAAATGTAGGGAAAAGGGGTTTTTATATGGAATGATGGAAATAGATATGAAGGAGAATATTATGATGATTTGAAAAATGGATTTGGTGTGTTTTATTATTCAAATGGTAAATATATTTTATACATTTTTTATTGCTTTTAAATAGTTATTTATTTTTTCGTTTGTTTAAGGTATGTAATTTATAGGTAATTGGAAAAATGGAAAATAACATGGAGAAGGGGTTATTGTAGATAAAAATAAAAAAGAATAAAAAACTAAATGGGATAATGGTGTTTTAATACAATGGTTTATTTATTTTATAATATATTTTTGATTTTATATTATTAGGGTAAAGTAAGATAATAAAACTAATTGTTGAAAAAATAAACGACATATTTTTTTGAAAAATATATATTAAATATACGTATATAATAATTTTATATATTTATTTATTTATAATTATATTTATATTTATATTTATATTTATATTTATATTTATATATATATATATATATATATATATATATATCTATAATTTTTTTTTTTTTATGTTTTTATGTTTTTTATATTTTTATTAATTTTTTTTTTATTATTATTATTTTTTTTTTTTTTACATATAATTTCTGTCCTTATTTTTGTTTGTAAAGCATAAATAATTAATTTGATTTTTTTTTTTTTTATATAAGCCTTTTTTCTAATTATATTTATATAAAAAAAAAAATTCTTTACAACTTTTATATATCATTTATTTATTTTTAGAATTTTTTTTTTTCAATATTTTTTCTCTCAAAAAATATATAAATATATATTTCGATTAAAAAAGTTATTTTCTTATTTCATAATAAAATATGAAAAAAATATATATTTTAAATATTCTTATCTTACATTTATACTTTGATAGCTTCTTTTATATGTCAAAGAAATTTTATTCATATAATTTTTTTTACTGAATTAAAATAAGGTCTTAGTCTTATTTTTTAACATAGATTCAAATATAAAGGATTTCTAGAAAAAATATTTTGTTTTAATTAAAAAAATAAAGTTATTTATTAATTTTAGAATATAATTTAAATGAATAAGTAATTAATTTGATAATTATTTATAAGGAAAGCATTTAAATAATTAATAAATAAAAAAAATGAAGAAATAATATGATTTAAATAGTAATTAATAATATATTAAAAAGATTATATTAAAAATATAAGAAAAATTGTAAAATGAATATATATATATATATATATATAATAATTATTATATTATATTAAATCAGGTTTTGTTAGTTTTTTTTAATAGTTTATATATAAAAAAATTAATCTATTTTTTTATACATAAACTATTCAAAAAAGGCGAACAAAAATTAATTTTGAAAATACAATATATATATATATATATATATATATATATTTATATATATATATATATAATAGATATATATATTTTTTTATTTATATTAAAATTTTATATTTTTTAATTTAAATATATTATTTTATAATTAATTTATTTTGAAAATATATATATAAAAAAATAAACATTTAAAAAAAAATACACAAAATATTTTTTTTTTTTTTTTAATATAAAATATATAAAAAATTCATTATTTACTAATAAAATAAGTTTAAATAATTTCTTATGTATTATTCATATTGCCTATACTAACATTTTTAGCTTTTACAATACAAAATTAATTTATATTTTATTTATTAATCCAATTTTTAGTACTTTAACTAATCATAACCTTCCCAGGTTCTCCACTTTATTCCATTTTATTAGCAATAAGAATATCTCTTCCATAAACATCATATCTAACAACTTTTGTACCTAAGATTCCTCCAATTATTCTCTTTCCAGTATGAACTCCTATTCTCATATTTAAAAAGGTATAATTTTATCGGATTCTATTAATTTCATCAATCATTTATAATGCGAAATTAATTACTTTATAATATAAATATATATATATATATAAATATCATAATGTATTGTATTTTTTACCATTTACAGCTTCTTTTGCCTTTTCTTAAACAGTATTTAACCTTTCAGCATCTACAAAAGATAAAACAACATAGCAATCACCGATAGTATATAATTTAAAAACGTTGTTTAGTAAACATAATTAGTCAAAGCTTTCAAAAAGATCTTTTAACATTCTCATAACTTTTTTAGGTTCTTTTACTTTATCAGAAAATTCAGTAAAACCTTTGATATCAGCAAATAAAATAGTGACATCTTCAAATTAATCTGTTAGTTCTCTTTTATTTTATAAATTTCCTCTAAATTTTTTCAATGCCTAATTTATATGTATTATATATAAATATATATAAGTTTAAAAATATATTTAAATAAAAAAAATATGTTTTAAAGAAAAAGAATATTTAATTAAAAAAATGAAATATATTTTTATATAAAAAGAATATATATATATATATATATTTATTTATATATCATTATTTATATATTTTTATTACTATTGCAGGTAATAATTAATTAACAAGTAATTGCATAGATTCTTTTTTTTGGTTTATTTTTGATGTTTAATTATAATTTTTTTTAGCAGTATTTCTATATATTTATCCTTTGTATATCATAAATGTAACAAATGTAAATATAAAAAAGGTATTTTCTACATCTATTTGTTTCCAAATAAATCCAATATATAAGCTTATAAAAATAAATCCAAAAATAATAATTTCAACAAAATTGAATATACTTAAATGATTAAACCATTTATATAAAACTACACTTTCAATTATTTAGACAATAATCATTTTCTAATTATCGTCACACATTTTTGCCTAAAAGAATTATGTAAACACTGCATATATAAAAATTGCATATATTAATTTTTTATATTTTTGATTTTTATAGGCTTTTTCTAATATTTAGAAAGCTGTTATAAATAAAAAGACAGTTATAATTCTTAAAACAAATATTATAAGATGATTTTAACATGTATCGTATGATATTGTGAATAATATAGTACTTATTTATTATTGGAAAAATAAAAATAATAATGAATATTTATTTTCTATAAAAGTAATTTGTTATATCTATTTTTTAAATTTATTAATGGTTTATTAAGGATTAGTATTTTTATTTATTATTGTATTATATTTAATAGAATCATTATTTATATTATCTTATTCTTCTTCAGATTCATCTTCCTCGCTTTCATCTTCAGAAAAACTTGATAATTCCTATTTATTTTTTAAATTAAATGATATATAAATATATATATATATATATATATATATATATTATACATTAATATATTCTGTATTTTATTTTTATTCATTAGATTTATAAGGAGTTTATTCATCTCCTAAATTAATAGTTTTGATATTTTTTCCTTTAAAGATATTAATAATATTATTTTTCTATTTAATTTGACAATTATTATTTTCAATTTATTAATTACTATGTTCAATCTATTAATTAATATTATTAATAATACTAAAATTGCTATTTTTTTTTATTCCAGTATTTTTAATATTAACAAGTGCGGATTGAAATTTTTTACTTGTAAAAAGTTCCCCAATTTCATATGCAGTCATTAATTCTTTTCCTTTAGGCTAAAATTAAATCGGTTTAAAATTATGATTCATCTACTTTACCTCATCTTTAACACTTTCTGATATTAAAATTTTACCATAATTACACTAAGCACATATTCTTGATGTTGTATTTACAGTATCTCCTATTAGAGAAAACTAGGGTTTTGGATTTCCTATAATACCGGCTATTACTTCGCCTTTATTTATTCCTATTTTTAATTTAATCCGATTGTTTTCAGAACCCCATCTGGTATTTTATGCACTTTCAAGCATTTCTTTTGCCATAAGAACCAGTCTTTCACCTTTTCCAATATGTTTTAACTACTCAATGATATTATTTTCAGATTCTTCAATACCAGTGGCAGCCATATATGTTTTACCGACAGTCTCGATTTTTTAAGCGCCGTATTTTTCACAGATATTGTCGAATTTACGGAAAAGATCATCTAAAATTACTACTACATTGTTCTTTTCTTATTAAATTAATTAATCGAATTCACATATATCGGCAAACAAAATAGCTACTTACTAAAGGCTTTTTGCCATTTCAAATTTTTTGGTATTTTTTCGATTTTATTTTATATAGTTTTCAACGAATTCGGGTACTAGCATTGAAAGAATTTAATTATTTTGCTCTTTTACGGATTTGATGTCTTCTAGAGCACAAAAATGTTTCCTTTATTCTTATTAATTTCTATATAAACTAAAAAAAGAGTATATATAGATATATGAAGTTAATAAAATGAATTAAAAAATGAAATATATTTCAATTATTTGAGATCTTTTATCAGTATATTATGTTAGTATTATATATGTTTACACTATATAATTTAAAGTGTGGATTATTAAGACTTTTAATAAGGAAATATTTAAATTAATTGTCGTTATTAGGTTTAAAATTAGATTAATAAGAATTAAATTTATTTTTTTATCCAAAAGTTAAATTATTAGTATTATTAGAGTACTCAAAAATATTATAGAAGCTGTTGTTTTGTAGTAGTTTTTTTAGAAATGAGAGGAAAATATATATATTAAAAGTAATAAATAGATAATTATAAATGATATTTTAGTATAAAAAAATTAATTATTTGTTTAATTTATAATAATATCAAATATTATATAGACTGTAATGAATATTATAGTCTATTTTTTTAAATAAAAAAATAAATTAAATTTTAAGTATTTTTTATATTTTTACTAATATATAGGTTATTCGAAATTATTTTATATAGTTCAAGATATTTTTTAATTTAAATTTTTCTTCCAGTGTTTCGTCTTTAAAATCTTAAGTAAATTTATTTATATATAAAAATAGTTTATCTTAATTATTTTCTAACACTATAAAATATATATATATATATATATATATATATATATATATATATATATTTTTTTTTTTTTATATTTAAATAAATAAAAAATATATACTATCTAAAACACTCTATTCAATTTTTTTGAAAGAACTAAAAATTTTCTATATGTATTTTTTTATATTTATATTTCTTTTCTCTTATTCTTCCCAATAATATCCAAAAACTCCCCAAAATTAACAAATTAAAAATCCACATATTAAATTAAATACAAAACAGAAAATTAGTCCTTAATTTTCAAATAATAAATCTCCTAAGTGCTACCAATCAACCATTTAGTCCCAAAATATCTTCTAGAAGTAAATTAACCAAGTAATCAAGCCTCCTTATAGAAAAATAAAAAAAATAAAAATCTTCAAAGAGAACAAGAAGGCGATTTTAAATGCTAAAATACCCACTAGACTTAACAAAATAATCTATATAGATTAATAAAGCTCACAATTTTTCCCTTATTTATTAATGAAATATTAAATAGAATACATAGTATTATAATAAATGAGAATAGCTTAAAGAAAGGTTTCTAAAATACCCTCAAACTATAATTTTCTGTAAAAATTTTGCCTTTTTTTTGTTAAAATAAAATCCTTTTAATCTTCATAGAAAAGTATCACTGAAAAAAAAAGCGAAAAAACAAAAGAAAAATCTAAAATAATAATTAATTGCCAAAATAAAAAGGAATTCCCAATAAAACCACTATCCCAAACAAAAAAACAAACAGTAAAACTGACCAATATTTGCGCATAAAAAACACTGAAAATTATCTTCTGGATTTTATTGGAAAAAAAAACACCTTAGTCTATTATTTCCGAAACTTCTTATATTTAATTAATTTATATATCCCCAAAATAACTATAAAATTAATTATTCTCAACTTTTTATTCTAATTCAATTGAAATATCAGAACTTTTGTTCATATTAGAATCTTTATAGCCCTCACCTAATGATAATATAGTACTTTCAGAGTCTTTAGTTGATTTTATTATATCTAAAAGGAAGCCTTTGGTAAATTAATCGATGTTATAGCCTATTAGTTTAGTTATAAATTATAATATGAATATAAAATGCTATAATAAATTGTTATCTCTGAGAATTTTGTAAAATGTAATACCGTTAAGGTACATTATGTATTATTTATTAGGATTTTGCTTTTCTTTTAAGAAAAATAAAATAGATCTTATTTAATCCCAAATATGAGATATATTAGATTCGCAGCATATATTTAAAATATTTTCTTAATTTAATTTTATACCTATATTACTAATATATATAAATAAATATAAAATATTAGTATAGATTATATTTAATTTTTAGATATTTTTTTTTTATTAAAAAAAAAAAAAACAAATAATTATTTAATAAACTATTTTATATAATATAATAAAAATAAAAAATAATATATATATATATATATATATATATATATATATATATATATATTTATATATATATATATCTTTTTACATTAATGTATTTATGGTTTTTTATTTTATTTAATTAGACAAAATAAATAGGTTTTTATTTTTTTTATCAAAGTTTTCATATAATTAAAGCGCTTATTCATTTATTTTATCTTTTATGCCTATTAAGGCCAAATATTCCAGATCATTTTCCAAAGTTTTAGATAAATTTCTAATATCATGGTCTTATATTTATATATTCGATTATAAAAGATTATACTAATCTATATATTCGTTAAACTATTACATACTAAGAGTTTTATAAGCAAAAGTTAAAGGTAAAATACCCTTTTTTTAATAGTCGTTTATTAAAAAATCTAAATTTTCATGCTGAATTTTATTTAATTTTAATTATGATTTTATATTTTAAGCATACCCTTAAGTATATATATAATATTAATTATCTATTTATGTAAAATCTTATAATTAAACAATTACAGAAAAGTTATGTTTTTCTTCTTTTTAATAATTTATTACTTTAGTAAAAATTTCAACTAATTTTCTATTCTATATATTTAAATATATATTAATTTATATATGTAATAGAATATTTTTTTATTTTTTTACATTAAAATATATAAACATTTTGTCTTTTTAAGTATATAATTAATAGCCTGAATTTCGTGCAAATTTAAGTAAAGTGTTTTAAATAGGAAGTTCTATATTTTTTATGGATTAAAGTTAACCAAATTATGAAGGTTCTGAATAATTACATATTAAAATTGCATAAAATAATTATTATAGATTGATATTTTTTTGATTATGATCTTTTTATTATTATAATTAATATATATAATCTTCGTTTTTATAAATCTTTATATCATTTAAATCTTATAATATAAATTAATCTTTTTATATTTGAAATTATTCTTATGTAATACTTAAAGTTTATTGTTTTTCTTCTTTATTTTATATAATATTTTTGTCTTCAATTTAATTATTTATTTGTATTTGATTTTCTATTTTTGATTAATCATCTTTTAGTTATTGTTATATTTGCTAATTCTATAAATATGCTAGATGTATTTATTTTTAAATTAATACTTTTTCTTATAAATTAGATTCCTTATTTTAATTATCATTATTACTATGTATTTATTAATCAAATTCATTTACAAAGTCTTGCTTTTAAACTAAATTTAAAATATCAATTTCATCTTTATGAAAGCTTTTTAAAATTGGAGAGTTTGAACTATATTTTGCCATAGGTTAATAATCTATGTCTTTTAAATTATCATAAATTTTATCTGATTTATTTATTGTTGTTTGTTTTTAAAGTGTATCTAATTATTATAAACCGTTATTAAATTTATTATTACTATTAAAAATAGATTGAAATTCTAATATATATTTTTAAAATTATAATATATATAAATGTAGATATATATTTATATTTTTATATACACATTTAACTATCCCCAAGAATTTATAATTAATTTTCTATTTTCAAATGATTTATATAATTATTATTATTTTCTTTTTAATAGCTATTTATAATTTTTAAACCTTTTAAATCTGAATTTTACTAACTTTATAAATTGTTTAAACTTTAAGTACTATCTAATTATTTTCCTAATATTTATATTAATTTGCTTTATAAACTTTCAGGATCAAATTCATATTAAGAATTAAATATATTTATTTATTAGATTTCTCTTTCACCTTTTAAATTAAATATTGATTTATCCATAAATATATAATCAATCTATTATATATATATATATATAAATTTATTATATATAATTTTTTATACTTATCCAATATTACTTATTACATCTGGATTTCCTATATTAATTTTATTATTTGGATTTTTCTTTTTAATAATTTTTTAAATCTTATACATTTCTATAATTTAAAACAAATCCAAAATTCCATAAATTAATGGCGGGAAAATTTACGAATGTAAAATTAATTAACGAATAAATTTCAAAAACTACTACTAATTAATTTCAATAAAAATCGAATAATAACTATTTATTTAATAAGAAAGTCCTATAATATTAGTAATACTAATGAAAAAGATATAAAAAAGGCAAAGAAAGCCATAATATTAAATAATATAGATAATGTAATAATTATCTTTAAAAATTCCTTTTTTATTTTAATTATTTCTATTTAACATTATTTAAGTATTCATTCCTCCGAATACAACTAATCCATAAATCCTATATTATATTAATTTTAAAATTTTATTAATTTTTTGTTTTTATAAAAACCAATCCATATTTTTAGTCAAATAAACAATACTTCCTCTAGGTATAAAATTATCATTATTTAATACTTCTACTTTAGGGTCTTTTAAAAGTTTTAATTAACCATTAAATTATAGATTATGTTGATTTTTTTCCTCATAAGATAATTTTAAAGTTAAGCAATTTTTATATCTATTAAAATATGATTTTCTATGATCTTTTAGATTTATAACTATAAGTAAATTTTAAGTATTTTTAATAGAAATATATATTTATTTATTTAAATTACTTTTAGTTAAACTTGGTGCATTTATTTATCTATATTCATCTTTTCCGTCTACATAGAAAGTATTGATATAACAAATTGCTTGTTTATTTCTTATTTTATTCGAATCTAATAAAATTATGTCTGCAGGCGATATTTCTCCATGGCAGATTCTAATCACGTCTCCAACTTTAACTTATTCCCATTTTATTTTAATGGTTTTTAGATTATCTTCTTTTTACTTTTTTTTTTTTTTTTAAAAAAAAAGAAATAAAATAAAAAATAATATTTATAATAGACTATATACTGGCATTGTTTTATTTCTTCGACCTAAAGTAATGTTTTTCATAAAAAAAGAAAATCTCTATTAATCTTAATGTAATGATTTTTTGGGATTTTATTATTTTTTTTTTTTTTTTTTCTAAACGTGTTATTTTTCCCTTATTTTACCTCTCTTTATTATTTTAAGTCAACAAAAAAATATTTTTTTATTATATTTACTTAACAATTTTATTAATTAACTTATTTGTCCATTTATTTTCTTTTTTATAAAATTATTAAATTTTTAATTATATGTATTAAAATATTAAAAATTAAAGGGCATATATATATCCATCTTTTTTGAAATAATAATATTTAAATAAAAAATGTATATATTTTTTTTTAAAAAAATAAAATTAAATACTTATTATATGGGTCTAATTCAGGTTTTATTAAGACTATTAGAGTTATTATAAGATTAATTTAATTTCCGATTTTATAAAAATTAGAAATCATTATTTTTGGCAAAGACTTATAATTTTTATTTATATATTTAATTAAAAATTATTTTAATTTTTTTTTACTGAATATGATTGTGTATATATATTATTTAATTCAGCTTAATTATATGATACCAATCTTCCTTTTTTAATTCTAACTAAATAAAAAAACATTTTTTTTAATTATTTGATTTATATCTATATAAAAATAATATTGTTTCAATATTTACTGTTTGCGGAAATACTTCATCCTAAAAACAATGTATACATCTTTATTATTAATGATTGTTTAAAATCATTTATTATTTTAACTTATTTATATATATCTGTCTTTCAATTATTATAAAACAAAGAATGCTTCTTTATTATTTTGTTAAATATAATAATTTATTATTTATTTTGTTTATTATAAAAAATAATAATAATAATTAAATATTATTTAAATGATTTAATAAATATTATTATTAATAATATTGTAAAATTATTTAAATAAAAAGAATATTAATAAATTAAACACTACAAAAATACATTTTTATACTTAAAATATAAAAATATTTAAATAATATAATTATTTATTAAATTTCCTTTAATAAATTTATACATTTTTATAGTATTATATTTTATTATATATATTTTATATTAACTTTTTTTTAATATATAATTTTATTATTATGTTTTTTGTTTTTTTTTTTTGATAATTTAAATTAATTAATTTTTAAAAACAAACCGTTTTATTTTAAAATAAATTATTAATATTTATTATTTAAATAACTTAATTTAATAAATATTTAATAAATTATTATTTTAAAATCCATTTTAATTAATAATTATAAATAATAATATTTACTTTTATTTAATGAATAAAATACTAAAAAGAAAGTAAAAATGATTTATCTTAAATTAATATAAAATTATTACAAAAAGGTTTTTATTTTTTTTATTATTATTTTTAATAAATTAATATTATAAAAAAATAATCTTATTATATATAAAATATTTTTAAAAAATAAATTATTAAATATATATATATATATAACATTATTTATTGTAAATAAAAATTTAATTAAAATAAAATCTTTTTATATTTTTTATTTTAATAATGTTTATTTATTTTAAATTTAATTAAAAATGTAAGAAATAAACTAATGTAATTAAAAACAAATAATTTAATCAATTAATTCATGCTAATATGTAATTTAATACTGCTAAGATTATTAATAAATAAATTTTACTGAATTTTATTTTTGTACAATAAATGAAAATGTTTTAGTTTTAGATATATTAACAGTATTAATTTAATTTTATTTTTTCAATTAAAAAAAATAAAAAAATAAAAATAATTTTATTTAAAAAAAATAAAAAAATATGAGATTTTTGTACCTTTATTATCATTTTAAATATTAAGTTCAACCTCGGAAATATATTTATCAGCATCTTTATAAAAAATATCTAATTTTTTTAAATTCTCTTAAACTTTTACTGCAATTACTATATTAGCTTTTGGAAACGGAGCTCCTGATATATTTACAGCTTTAATAGCTGGAAAATCATAAAATGGGGGTATTAATATGATTATTGGTTCTATTTTTGGGGCTGGATTATTTGTTACAACAATTACTTTATCAAAAGTTATATAAAATGCAAAGAGAATAAAAGTATGTTTTTTAAAAAAATATTTTAATTTTATATATATATATATTTTTTTTTATATAAAGATAGATTAAAAAATATTTTTAAGAGATATTTTATTTTATATATTTGCATAATTAATAATTTTATTTTATACTTTTATTGGAAAAGTAACTTGGTATATGTCTTCTTTATTTATTTCTCTTTATATTATGTATTTTTATTTAGTTTAATTTTTACAATTAATATCTTTTTTTTTAAAAAAAAAATAAGATACATAGGAATAGCAATATTCTAAGAATAATAAATAAAAAAAGAATCATTAGCTTTAGGATTAGATAAACGTTTTTATTTTTTTAAAATAATAAATTTTTATTTATTTTATTTTTAAAGAAAAATTAGAATAAAAAATTGACATTGAAAACGAAGTTTAAAAAAAGATAAAATACGAAGAAAAAAAATAAAAGGAAAAAAATAATTAAATACTGTAAAAATATATATATATATATATATATAAAATAATTTTTATATCTAACGAAAATAGTATTTAAAATTAATTAAATATAAATAATACCGATAATATGGTAATGTAAAAAAAAAAATTAAATATGTATTTTTAATTTAATACTATAAAAAGTATGAAGAAGATGAAATTTTATCTTCTTCTTAATCATCTGTATTGAGTCTTTAGAATTTTTAAGAACTTTCATACGAATAAAACTAATAAAAAAAAAGGAGATATAAATTATAGCCAAAAAAATAAAAAAATAATATATTTTTACAACCTTAAAAGTACATTTTTAAGAAAAAATAAACCTTCATTAAAATAATTGGAATCAAATGAATATTATATAAAAGTTATTATATTTATAAAGATTACCCTTTGATTTTATTAGATTTTTAACTATTCCGCCTTGTAGTGATTAATAATGGAATAAATATAGAGCTATTTTTTGTTGTTTTTCATCTCCTTTAATTATTTTGTATTTAACACGATGTAAAATAATTTAAATGTTTTAATTAAAAAGATAAATAATATAAATATATATAAAAATTAGAGATTTAGACAATAATATTTGAAAAGTTTTTAGTTTTATATCTGATTTTGATTTTGGGTTCTTTTTTTTCTGTTTTGGTTTTTGTTTTTTGGATAATAATAAAGTTCCTAGGCATTTATGGCTTTTTTCTTTACTTGGGTTTTTGGTTTCTATTTTATATATTAAAATAGTTTCAGAAATTTTAATAGACTTTTTGAACGTAAAATTATATTTTTTTATATATATTAAAAAATATATAGTTCTTTTAAATTATTTCTAATATAAATAAAACTTTTCTTGGATTAGGAATATTAGCAGTAGGAAATTCATTATCAGGTATAATTATATTTTATTTATTTTATTTTTTATTTTAATAGATAATTATACTAATTCTTAATTATCAAAAATGGGGTATGGTATAATGGCTTTTAGTGGATGTTTTTCAGGATAAAATTTTAATTTATTGATAGGGTTTGGTTTATTAATATTTATTTAATCTTTTAAGTATTTTTATTTTATTTTTTAAAAAAAATTAAATTATAATTTATTTTTTTTGTAGATAGGATTTATACTTTTCTTTATATAAATCAGATTCCTTACATTAAAATATTGATAATGTTTTGACTTTTAGTATATTATTTTTAAATATTTTAAATTAAATTATAATTTTAATACTAGCTATAAAAAATAAGTAAATATTTTTATATATAATTTTTTGTTTATTTTCTTTATAAATTAGATTTAATTTTAAACCTCTTTAGTTTAAAAAATATTTTAATTATTATTATGCTTTTGCTATTTCTTACTGTCTAATTGTTTGCATATTATTTACTTTAGTTTGATTTTATTTATTTAAATATTCTAATGATTACATATATATAAATAATTAAAATATATATATATATAATAAGAAAATAAATAAAAAGAATAATTATTTAAATTTAATATAAATAAATATATATATATATATATATATATATATATATAATAAAGTAAATAACTCAAAAAAATTGATTTACAATAATAAATAATTATTAAGTATATTTAAAGAAAATAATAATAATTTATTTTTAATATTCAAAAATAATAATTTAATTATTTTAAAAAATTACATTTATATATTTATTTATTTTTTTTAAAAAAAAAATACAATTAAAAAAAAAATGAATTTTTAAAATATATAATCTCAATATCCTTAATAAAATTAACCAATATATGTATACAACTAAACCTAAAATTAATAAAAATAAATTAAGCCACAATAATAAATATATCCATAAACAGTATAATAAACTCAAAATATTATTCCAATTTCATAAATAATTTAAAATTCATAAACTAAAAATAAAATTTGTAAATATAAAAATATAAAAAAATTATAAAAAAAAAAATAGTAAACTCATCAAAAGGTATAACTCAATTAAAATAATATCCGTAAAAAGAAACAACAGAATAATTAATAAATAAAGAAAATAAGATAAAAAAAATCAATTTAACAAATGATATAATAAAAAGCCCATAATAGATATTAAATAAAAATAAAGAATTATAATAAAATGAATTATAAAATTAATAATAAAATAATAATAATAATAATAATAATAATAATAATAATAATAATAATAATATGAATATGAACAAGAAATAGAGGAAGATGAAGAATAAGAAAAATAAATTAGATAATAAATATAGGAATAATTAGAAGATTTTAAATAAGAATTAATTGTAAATTATGAATAAACATTAAATGAATATTCTAATGAAAATGAATAAACTTCAAAGTAAAAAATATAAATATTTATAAATGTACATATATATATATAATAAGAACCATCGATAATTTAAAAAGATATATTTAATAAAATTCTAACGACCTATAATAAATACATATAAAAATGTCTTAAATAAATGATTAAATAAATTAGGAGAATCACTTAGAAGTATAAGATTAAGAATTTATAAAATAAAAATTTATTAAAATGTAAGAAATATAAACAAAAAATCCTTTTATGGATTTAGAATAATAATAGAAAGAAGTTAAGGAAGAACTTGAAAATTTAAAGTAAAAGTTTATTAATGATATAGAATTTTAGACTAATTAAGTATTCTTAAATGTTTAATTTAAAAATGAATAAGAAAATTTTGATATAAATTAATAAATGGACTCTATTAAAAATTTTTGGGATGAAAAAATAATTAATTTTAGACAAGAAGTTGATATTTAATTAAATAAAATTGAAAATAAAATTAAAGATGTTTCTTAAGAATAAATTGTTATTTAAAATAATAATAATAATAAATAGGAAATATATGATTCATTTGAAAATTGTATTGAAGTTTTTGAAGGCGAATTAATGAAAATTAAAGCCTTAATAGACAGTAAATTGGATAAATAATAGCTAAACTAGGTAATTTAAGGGTATAAAAATATAAAAGAATGTGAATATATTGGAAAAATAAACTAAGAGTTAAATGTTTTGAAGGATTAAATATAAAAAAGTTCAATTTAAGTTGAAAAGGATGCATTTTTATTAGAAGATTAGTTAAAAAATTTCGAGAAAAATGTAAATTAGAAGCTTGAAGTATTATAGAATTAAGATAATAATCAAAATTTAATAGAGAAACTAAAAAATGGTATTGAAGAAATATAAAAGCAATACATTTTTTTATAAAAAGAGTTAAAAAACTATGAAAATAGTTAAAATAATTAAAAAAGTTTGAGTGAAATTTAATTTTTAAAAATAGAAAATGAAATATAAAATTTAGATGAAAAAAATAATTTTTTAAAAGAAAATTTTGTTAAAAAATAACTTGAAGAAAGCTGTTAAAATTTCGATTTTTAAGTAGAAGAATTAAATAAAAATATAAATACGCTTTTCGAATAAATGAATATATTTGAAACATAATTAAATGAAAATATTCAAGAATTTGATTTGAAAATAAACGGATGTTTCTAGGAATATGAAGGTCTTTTAGATGGTAAAAAAATAGACATTTTAACTTATGATGATAGAGATGATTGTGGATAATTATAAGATGTACTTTTATAATATGAAAATTTTAATAATGAAGTTAATTCTTATTTAAAAGATAATTAATTACAATAGGTTTTTATTTTAATAAAATTATATATATATTTTATATATATATATATATATATATTTTTACATATATATATTTTTTTATTTTTACATATATAATTATAATTTAAAATTATTTTTTATTATTTTTTATCATTATTTTACTTTTTAAAAAAATACTCAAATAAAAAAAACTTAGTTTATTTTTATTGAAATTTTTTTTAGTTAATAATGTTATACTAATAATTATTAAAAAAATAAAAAATTTATTTGAAATATTAATATATAATTTTATTTATAGTAAGATATAGGTATTAATTAATAAAGTAATTATTTATTAGATGCTGAAAATTTTGTTATTGATGAATATGGAAATTATGTATGTGATTAAGAAGGGTAGAGAATTTAATTAAGTTAAGAATAAGTTAATAATTTAAAATAATTTGATTAATTTGAATAATAATATTAATAATGAAAAATAAATTATTATATTA